TAAACCTGCAACAAAACACATCTTAACATCAATTTAAAACTGATTAAACAACCGAAGCCTAACACACATACCTAGCAAAGCCATCTCAAAGTGAGATGTTTCAAAAATGTCCAAGAGGCCTCGGACAGGCAAACCCTTCGGCAACTTGTCTAGGAGATCCACAATCTCTTTGTCCTCAGCAGGGAGCTTTGATGAGGGTATCGCCTCGAAACGCGTCGGCCGCCTCATCCAATAGAAAGGGAATAGAGGAGAGTCTTCTCGGTCGAAAAAACAGGGCCTCATTTCCGGCCCCCAACGAACCTTGAAGAACCCACTTTTAAATCCCTTATAAGAGGAGGTGAAGGCTCGGAGAAACCCACGCTTCGGCACTCGGGCTAGCGAGACCCACTTCACCGGCTTGCTCGGACGACATATATAATAGTAAAGAAAAGCTAGTGGTCGGGGTGTAAGGCCCACGCACAAGCACAAATTCTGAAACGCTTGCATGGCCGCCCAGGCGTTCGAATGTAGCTGGGTCAGTGCCACGTTCAGTACCCGGAGAACTCCCATCTGAAAGTCATCAAACGGGAGCTCTATCCCAAGGTCCTCGAACCAGCACATGTAAGCGTAAAAGTAGTCGTCTTCGTCGGGCTCCGACTCCATGAATACGAAATCGGTGTTCGGTCCCTCATCCTCGCACGCCTCGGCAAGCAGTGGAAACTCATCTTCGCCACTCCCGAAACACTTCTCCAAAGACACGAAGGTATCTAATAACCCTTGGTCCGAGAGAGACGAGAAGTATATGCCAACCTCACCGTCGACCCACTCGTACCCGGGCATCTCCACTGTGCCGTAGTCAATTTTCGCCTTCGCCCGAGCACTCGGACCAACCACGCCTTTACCTCGGTCATTGCCAAATACCTCCAACTCGTCTCCACAGGCTTCGGCGCCAACGATGTCAGTAGGTGGGTTCCGCTGGCCAACCCAGCCTAAACCTCTAGCATCCACCTCAGTAGCTTGTGCCAAAGCCACAGCTAAAGTCATCGGAGGCGACACCTCGACCACCTCATCCCCACTATCCTCCTGCTCGGGATGGTCGGAGGGGAACACCACTTTGTATTGTAGTGGAGGCAACCTTGATATCTCGCTCGAACCCGACCCCTCTCTATCCGACGCATCACCCGACGCCTCCGAGGACGTCCAGCTCCTAGCCGAGGAATAACCCCTATCCATTTATTACCAAGAATAAAAAATACAAAATTTACCTTTGATCGGTTTGCTCGGTCAAATCTGGTTTCGAGAGCGCTTGGGAAATTTACAGCAAGTAAATTTCCAAGGTCCCCCCTATTTATAGGCAAGGTAAATGGGGGAGGTGAAACGACGTCTCGAAGCCACAACCGTTCGTTCTGGAACATCCAACGGTCTAGATTTAGTAACCGTTGGGTCTGTAACTGCTAGGGCCAACGTGGCAGGCCACACCTACCGAGGTCTCAGCGCAAACTCCAACCGCGGGAGACCTCGGTCCAAGTTCCATCCAGCTGAGGTCTCGGCATGGCCTTCTCCATCCAGCTGAGGTCTCGGCATGGCCTTCCAACGCCTAAGGCCTCGGCCCAAGTTCCATCCAGCTGAGGTCTCGGCATGGCCTTCCAACGACTAAGGCCTCGGCCCAAGATCCATCCAGCTGAGGTCTCGGCATGGCCTTCCAACGCCTAAGGCCTCGACCCAAGTTCCATCCAGCTGAAGTCTCGGCATGGCCTTCCAACGCCTAAGGCATGGCCTGCACATTTAAATCGTCTTCGTCTTTCGCATCCTCGACGCTACGGGGGTTGTATACCGTATGGAGGCCAACTAGGCTGAACACCCTAGTCCATACCCGAATACACCGAGTACCCGAGCCCGTGACTGACTGAACCGAGCACCCGAGCTAACCGACCACTAATGGAACGGAACATGTCGGTGTGCTCGGCCTAGGCATGGATTTATACTAAAGTGATTACGGAAAGATTAATTTACGTAATACGCCGATTTAGTCCCCTAATTTTCCGGGGCCCAGTCCCTAATCACGGCCCAATAAGAAACACTATAAATAGACCCCCTTCAAGGTACGTAACTAACTTTTCAACTACCGCATTTAATACGCCGAGCACTTACTTGAGTGTTGGAGTGTCTTTGCAGGCACCCCCCCTCATTTCGGACTACTCGAAGAAGGACGAGAAGACTTAGACCCCAGACTCGACCCGCTACAACAAGGATAATTGGAGTGTGTATCCTAACACAGGAACACTTAATATATGTATTTATCAAGGACATCACTATGTTCTAAGAGGTCAAAATCTATAACACACGAAAATTGTGTATATATTTTTAATAACACAAGAAAATTGTACTGATTATTTACTATGAAGCAGTTTAATCTCATTTTTCTTAAGAGTAAATTAGTGAACTTTTCTATGAAATTGTTTAACTCATTTTTATTTGAGGTAAGTTAATTAGATGTTGAGCCACCCAAGTTATTGGGAGTAGTTCATGATTCATATTTGGTCAAGACAAGTGAGGATATTGAAGGGAAATACATCACAATGGCATAAGATTTGAAGGACGATCCAAACTACGTACCCTATCCCATGTGTACTTTTATTATTATCGCAACTGCAAATAACAAATTATTCATTTCATGTATAAGAAGTGATATAATAAAACATTTTACATAACAACCGAATAGAAATGGACATCCTATATAACGCGAAATAAAAGTTTAATTAATACGACATAAATTAAAATATGAATATCATGCATAGTAATGTACAATAAAAGACAAATGATGAATATGATACTTGTCCAAATTTTAGGATTTAGTTGGCCCGTCTTTAAATAAATGTTTCTTTTATTAAAATAAAAGGTTAAATTTTATTTGCTTAAACTCTATTTGAACGATTAATATGTCTTTCCATCAATAGGGGTCTAGTTCATGCTAAGTGAGTTGTTGTAAATTTCTTCATAGCAAGTTTAATTTTCATTAATGAATAAAATATTCAATATATCATTTTGTCCCTAAAATTATTTTGAAATTTTTAATTAGTTACCTAAATTAAAATTCATTATAATTGAGTCATTCTTCTTTTTATATTTTTTAATTTAATCTTTAAAGTTAGAGATTCATTTACAATACATAAAATTTGACAAAATACTTTTTATATCCTTATACTTCAACAGACATATTATATTATTATTAAAAAAAATTATTATTCCAGAATTATTATGATCATAGGATTTAAGAAAAATTTTATAATAAGAATTAAAACTTGATATACATGGGTGATAAATAATAATTTGATATGATTGTCTAAATATGACTATATAAAGAATATTTTGTCAAATTTCATAAATTATAAACAGGCCTCTAATCTCATGTTAAAAAATAAAAAAAAAATATGAATGACTCAATTATAATTTTTTATTTAGCTTAGGGATCTAATTAAAAGATTTAAAAAAAAAATTCAAGATGAAATAATGTATTAAACCTTAAAAATAATATCTCTTCCTGCACAATTATCATTTACATGAGATTATAAATATATTAATTTTTTTTTTTTTTGTCTTTTATTTTTATTCTTTAGCCTTTATTTGACATTTTATTTATTACCTCCAGTCTTTAATTCGACTTTTTTCGGAAGTTAAAGTCTTTGATTGTTTTTTTTTTTTTATAATTTCAACTGTACTTTATAAACAACTAAAATAGTCTGGTTAGGGTAGTTTTAAATTATTGTTATAAAAAACTATCCAAGTTAACTCGTGTATAAAATCTAAAAGTTTGATTTAACCTCAAATACTGAGGGTCCAATACATGTTAGTTGGTATTTGAGAAGGAAGGAGGAAGAATATCTAGAGGGTGGGTGTTCAGTCACTTGAATGTTCTTTCACTAAATCAATTTCATGATTCATAAAATTATTTAGACATGACATTTCCTGCCCCACGTTCTTCATCATTCTGAGTTAATTCCAAAAACTCTACACAGGACGGGAGGAATTCGAGGGATGGAAGAGTGGCAAGCTATTTTTGTTACTATTTATAAATTGATTTTTTCACTCTGAACTAACCCCGATAGCAATTTTGCCTTTTCACGTTAACTTAACTGTTTTCTGGTGTCCGTAGTTGTGCGTGCTGATAGAACAGCGAAAGCAACGCTTGCGTGTTATGAGAATTCCCCAAAACAGTGCTTCAGTAATTGCCTCTTCAGATTAAAGTAGATCTAGTGCTTGCTTGATCCGGCGTTTAACATACATCCAACACACATTTTCACGTCTCAGAATGAAATTAAAGCAAAAAAGAAATTTATTGTTTCTCACTTAACACATGTATCGTTTATAATGTGGAACTAAATATGCTGTTATTTGAACATGGATTCCAATACTGTCCCAAGTAGCCAATTGTGTTATTATTATCGTTGTTTGCAAATATTTTGGCTTTATTTTATATATATTTTTTCTTCACATCTAAATTTGGGTCAAAATGATTTGGACAAACATCAAGCAGATGCTAAGAAAATCCTTCATTCTTTTTTTATTCCGACAATTATATATTCATCCTATTAGTTTACACTTACCAATAAATTTTTATCACTTTTAAATTTTAATGTCTTGGGACAATGGTTAGCAAAATTTGGAGGAAAGAAAGGAGCAAAGGCAACCCTCCTAAAAAGTAAAACCCCACCACCACAATGATGGCCTTTCAAGCCTTTCAGAAAGAGTCAACCACAGATTCCGCTGATAGCGCTTCTTTCCAATCCTAACCTTATTGGACTTCCAAGTCTAAAGTGTAATACCGGCTTTGAGTGACAAGACTCTAGAAAGTGGGCTGACCCATAATCTCCCAACAAGAGAACCAAAAGTCAAACAAAAGGCTGAAACACCCTTTTTTCCTGCTGCCACTCATAAATGTAGCTTGAGCATTAATCAGAAATGGCCCCCGAGTCACTCGGGAATCAGTCTCAGCTCAGCTCCAAAAAGTACACGACAAAAAATCAAATAATCAGATCTGTTAGTATAATATAAAAAAAATAAAAATCTCATGTTCATAGTTAGTTAATAGAAAAGCACTAACATGGGCTGCACTGCTAGTACACGTATTAAAAATGAATACGGAAGAACTTGAACTTGATATTATGGAATATGTTACATATCGGTATCCGAGTACCGAGTTGATAAATTTTATAATTATATATACCTAAATAATTTATGCATATACCACTTAAGGCACGATAATTAGGTTATAGTACTGTGGAAGGGAGTTGTCAACTAATCTACTATCTACCCTTGTGTAGTTGTTCCCCCAGAGATCAGTGTCGTTTCACATGTAACACAAGCAAGATTCAAAATCAATAGGTCTTTTCGTCCCAACTACTGAATGTTTCAACTCGGAGTCTATGTAATTGTTGCCATAATCACTTGTTCCCTTTGGATCAGTGAGAACCTGAGTTTCTTCATCTGAGAAAGAAATTAGTAGTGTCAGAGGGACAAATTACAGTAATAAATCCTAGTTACGCAAAATGAATTTGAAAAAATAATAATAATATCGCTCCAAGGAGATAAAGCGACAATGACAAGACACTGTCTTGAAATTAAAAAACAAATCAATAATAGAGATAAAAAATCAATAATACTTGCAGATCTTTCCTTACAAACCCTCACATTCTAAGATGAATTCATTTTGGCCATTCAAAAATAGTTTCAATGGGACCATCAAAATGTTATCCAATGACAAATAAGTTTATAGGAGTTTGTGAGCATGAAGCATGTGTCATATATTAGAGATAATCATCTGAATAAAAAAAAAAAAGTTCTGAATCAAAAAAGATACTAGAGATCATCATGCCTGAAATCGTGGAAAGTGAGAGTTCAGTAAGGCGTTTGACACGGTCCTTTAGTTCCTGAAGTTCAGCTTCCTTCTCATGCAGATTTGATTGAGCTTGCTGCAGTTCAGATTCTAGCTCCATGATCTGATTTTCTTGCTGTTTTATTAGCAAGTGGCTTAGTTTCTGATGCAGTTCAGATGCTGACACTCCATGAGAATTAGAATAACTTAAATTCCAGTCATCTGTTAAATGACAGCCTTCATCTGGAGCTTCAATCTGCACGCCATTTTATTGATCAAACACCGAAATCATGAATACAAAATGTTGCTCAACCGAGTAAAAATGGATACGGAAAAGGTTGGACGACAAGGGCCAGTAGTTCCCTCCCCAAAGCTACAGCGAGGTGTGGCCGAGAATTAACAAGATTTAGACTGTGTAAAAGCATGTTTCTCCTATTAAATATAAATTTGATCAAGTCATCAGAGAAGACTCATCCAAATTCTGCTGCATCGACACACACAGACCTTGGATGGCAACACAGAAATTGATTAAATTATTTTAGAAAAAGAACGTTGACATGTAATTTCTGTTTAGACTGTTTTCTCTGGTAAACCATGGTGCAGAGAAGTTGATTGCTCAAGCTGGAAACGAGAAATGAGAGCAAATATACATTGTGAATGGTTCATAAACATTATATTCAAAAAGAAAAGTGCAGAGGAGAAAAAAAGCTTCCAAAGCCTGAGGTAATCAAAAGAAAGAGACAAAAGAGGATGAAAAACATTGCACCATAGAATTGACAACACATAGCACTATCTGCATTCTGCATACTACATAGATGCCATATTTAACATATTATGAGTGTGAGACAACTAAAGAAAGAATGGTCTCGAGAAGTTCACCTCATCTAAGTTTGGCTTTGTTTTTTCATGGCAAGGGCCATCAGTAGTACACCCAGAAAGCTTTTGGAGTTCAAGCTCAAGCTCTGCTTCCAGTTGATCCATTTCCAGAACCTGTGGTTCTGGTTCTTCAGTAAGAGCACTACTTCCACATTCACCGCAATCATTTACACCAGGACTCCAAATAATGACATCAGTGTTTCTGATCTCACTGACTGTATTCTTGAGCGTTACTTCATTCTTGCCACTGATTTTGCGAGAGCCCTTCACATCATTGCCAACAGAATCTAAATTTTGAAGACCGCGTGACGATTTTCTTCTGTTGATCTCAGCTTTCAGTTCCTGAACAAGTTTAGCTGTCTCGTCCACGGTCTTGTTCAGCTTATTGATCTCAGCTTTTCCAGCTGACATCATACACATGATGCCAATGCAAAGTCCCCAACCAAACAAGGAGTTATCTGAAGAATACAATATGAAGCAAAAGTCATTTTTAAAACCAATCAGTTATTTACTACGGTGCAAAAAGGCACTCGAGCAGATTGAACAGATTCAATAACACAGCCAAAAGAACGGAGGCACCATGCCATAAACAGGCAACAAGGGGCAACCAAATAATCAAATATGAAGAGATTGTGCACTGAAAATCCCTAATTATACGAGTCAAGCTTATAAAAAACAGTTGGCAACCACAATTCCCATTGCAATGTCAAGCGTTTTGGAGTCACCATGACTGTATTACAACCTCAATTGAGGTAGTATCAGTCACATTTATCTACAATTTTCCACAATATCAAAGATCACAACCTATGATACACAGATACAATACGTGTATTGCATAAAATGCATATCATATATGGCAATACAATTATTTTAAAATATATAAAAAACATTGTGTAAGATACATGTATGCATATGTATCAATATTCATAAAATATAATAAATTTGTAATTGTAGTTTTGATAAAAAAAAAAATCAAAATAATAAATATATAATTGGAATTTCGCAAATCCAAATTAAGCCAACCTATTGACAGGTGCAGCCAAATAACTTCCAACAGCTGCAGTTAAAACTTTTAAAACTACATATCGTTCATAGTCATCTGTTCAGCCAACCTAGAGAGCTCTGCCATCTGCGAAATGATCGCATGGAGATGCAATGGAAACTTTGAGGCCAACATACAACATCATAAGCAAGTACTATATTCATGAATTTTCATCCCTTGTATAAGGGACGGAGCCAGGATTTCAATACTGGGGGGCCGAGAATAAATAATATATAATTTATAATAAATGAAAATTAAAGTATCAAAAGCATATAAAAAAAAATATAAAAAAAAATTAAAATTGTTGGGGGGGCCGTGGCACCCGTAGGTCCCCCTTGGCTCCGTCCTTGCTTGTATTGTATTCGATCCATCATATCATTATCACATAACACTATGGCTATCAAGCTCACTAATAATCTGAAATTTCTCATACATTATGACTTCAATTGCATTGCAAATAAAACAGTACTACAAAATTATCATTATCGCAGACCAACGAATTAGGAAAACAAAAGAGTCAAAACACGAATCTAACCTGCCTTGGCAGCCACGTTCTTTGTAATTTTGTTCTTCTTCAAGCAAAAGCGCAATCTCCTTCCACCGCTCCTCTGCGCCGAACGCAGCTCAACCCTAACTCCGTTCCTGGAGGCTCGGGATCTTCGACTCTTAGGTCCATCTTGTTGTGTGGGAGATCGGGAACTGGAAAACGTGAAGACTCCGTGACGTTGGCGCGTCTGAGAAGTGCTTTCGGAAGCGGAAAAGACGAAGGAACTTGGACCGTGGAGATCGGCGTTTTCAACCTCAACGTCGTTTCTTTGCGTAAGGAAGTGTTTGGCAACGAAGCCAGTGGATCCGGCCACAACAGCGGCCACGAGAAACTGCCACATTCAGAATTCAGAAAACCAAATCAGAGAGAGTGAATTTCTCAACTCAGAATTTCCACTGTCACTGCGACAAATCACACACCAAACAGAGCGTTATTATGCAGTGTTAAAACTTTGGTGTCATGTCACGTGTGTCACGTGCTTCCCGCTTCTTTCCATTTTTATCAACAATTTTCATATTCCTCTTTATGAAGGTGAGTGTCATTGAATATTGTCTTAATTAGAACATCCCTCGATTCATCATTTTGATTGTCAAAATTACTTAATTTTTCTATAATTTTAAAATAATTTAATGAATATCCACCGTTAATATTACACTTATTATCGGTATGGATTTTAAGATAGTAATCAACATTTGTTTCAGATGGGTAATTGTATAATTTACTCACTTTAAAAATTAAGTTAATTAGAAATTAGAATTTAAGAAACTAATTTGGTACATTATCTTTGACCGAATCATTCAACTTATCCAAATAGTGAAAGTAAAACCATTTATTAATGGTGTTGAAAATTCAAATTAAAAGTATTTACTAAAAAATATTGAATTGAAAATATTAATGTTTACTTCTTTAAAATAAAGATGAGAATTTAATAAAATATCTAAATATTTAATTTTTTTACTTTTAATATTATACAAATGTTTTTTATTAGGAGCCTCGTAAATTAATTAATTGCATTTTTTTTCTTTGATTATAATTGTGTATTGAAAAAATACATTTTGTTATTTAACGCAGTCAAGATATCGAAGAAAATTATTTTTTGATAAAATGGTAAAATAATTATGTTAATATCATGATAAATAAAAAAGAGTTAATTACCTATATACTGTCAGTGTAAAAAAAAAAAAATTACACTGACAAACAATTATATCTTTTAATTGTATCATGTCACTATAAAAAATTATTGACACCAACCAAACATCTATAACATGTTTTTATTACGAAAGTGAAGCTAGCATTATTGTTATGTAGCATAAATAATCTTTTTGATAATTTATTAATCATTTTATTTTGTATAGAGTTTTGATTCATCTTATATATTTTGTAATTGAACGCGCAATGTTATATTTACAAATTTATAAGTTATTTAGGAAGTTGTTATTTTCATAAATCTAACATGTTAAATTAAAAAGTGGATAAACAACTGTGAAGTTGTACTGTGACAGTGAATTCAATCAAAAGAGATTAAAAAAAAAAAGAAGACATATTTTAAGAGAGAGAAAAAAATCCTCTCTCTCCCTCTCTCTATATATATTAAAGAACTCTCCATTTCTTCTATTATTATTCTTTTGGATAAAAGCAGAAAAAAATACTTCTGGGTAAATAAATAAATAAAATGATATATTAATAATGAAAAAAATAATTTCACCAAAAAATAAAGAAATGAAGAGGATTTTTTTTCCTTTTTAATCATGAAGGAACAAAATATTTGAAGTCAAATACAGCAAAAACTAAGCTAATATATATTAATTTTTGACTGTCAACTTGTCTATAAAAAAATGCTTAATATTATTAACTCCACCATTAGTAAGCGGTTTATATTGACGAATGACGAGTTAAGAATTTATTCCATAAAGTTTGTGCTAATTATGTATTTACTATTAACTGATTACTCTTTTTATCCCAGCATTAAAAAAGATTGAAAACAAAATTGCCACGGAAAACAAAATAAATAAAACAAACACTTATAGAAGGTTGAAAAACAGTAAATTTCCAAGTTTACTAACCATTTATCACTTTGATCAGTATTATATTTAAACACTCTCAGTACTATATTTAAATTTAAACATGAAATTTAATGCTCATAATTGTCTGTAAAAAATCTCACGGTCAAGCAAGTTCGTATTTAAAATAACAATTGTTAAACATAAACATTAAATTTATATTTGAATAATAATATAAAATTGTTTTATAATGTGAATGTCTAACTTATTTTTTTATTAAATATATGCGCTCTTTCTCGATAAATTTCTAATAAAATGGTTTTGTTAGTAAAATAAAGCGTTCAAATTTATTTTTAGTTCATGCAAAATCAATGGATTTTAATTTTGAATATAAAAGAAAATTAGTTCAGCCTTTTAAAATGTATAAACATTATTTTTGTAACGACTTAATAAGTCTTATATTGTAATTCAACTATTATACAATGAAAAATAATAATAAACATTAGCAACCTAAGATTATCATGCAATAGGTAATAGATCTCATGTTCATAAACATGTAGGGAATAGGAAATTAAAAATGATTCTTGTACATATATATCATCTACATAAGTATCATTGTGCACAAGAAACAAGAAAAATCATACTTACTAGTCAAGTACCCATACAAGATCAAAATTACATAAGAGCAATACTATCGAAAAGAAAATTGGTCATCTCTAGCATTGCCCTCCACTAGACAAATCATCCTGTTAATCATGTTATACACTCTCATATTAAATATGTTCATTGTAGTTCCAACCACAAGAAAAAGAATGGTAAGCTTGTGAAAAAAATCAACATACAACAATAACATTGAGTAACAACTAGAATCAATTAAGCAACAACATTCAACTATGTTCTTACTAGGAAATGAGTACAAGAGGTCTCTAGTGGGAAATCCTCAATCCTTAACTTCTCAGTCCTCGACTTTCAAGTGTTAGGTGGTTTGTACCTGCAAAAGGGTTTTTGATGCCTAAGTTAGAAAGTGTTCAAAGTGATTGAATGTATTATATACGTTACGTACCTTATGAAGGTCTGATCATTAATTATATTCAAGAGTTTTTATTGATTTGTAAAAATCAGATGTTACTCTTTGTAATGATAGTGATGAGGGTGCAACCTTGGTTGAGTTAGCCTCAACTATGCTTCTCGATAGTTCTGATGTCGATAACCAAATACATATATTGGATCTTCCAAGCACTTTCACAATGGGGGTCGACATGTTATCGGCCTCGAGACCTCTCTGATACAAACTCAACATACAACTTCCACTTATTATCAAGTGCTACACAACCAACTTGCAACTTATTACAACATATAACAACTTCAACATATTTCTTTCTTAATCATCAACATCAATATTTAACTAATACGTCGTCAAACATATCAACTAAGGAGATCTCTTATAGTAACGGTGAGCAATTAAAATGACTATACTCTATCGAACCATAGCATTTGACCTAACATAATCAGGTCAGGCATAGATAACTTCAGGCTTTATAGAGAATTTGTTTAACAACATAATTTAATTTATCAGGTTTCTCTACTTAAACTAAGAAGTCTAATATTATTGTCAAAATAGAACAGTTTGAGTATGAGTCTACCATAACATTAACTTACAACACTAGGTCACCTATTGGATTAGTTCATCGACTACCCTCTAAATACTATGTCTTTCCAATACCAGATTAGAAACTAAGTTTCTGACTTTGTATTTTACCCGGTTGATCATTTTATACATGTATGTCTCAACCTTATCCACATACAAATACTACATAAAATCTATAAAAGATAACTTAAAATAACTATTCATTCAAAAGTTAGCATATTTATTGAAGGGTTTCAACCCAAACTCTCAAAGCATTATAACATATATTCACATAATAAGATATTTTAATTTCTTAAACATTTTTTACTCTCCCATAGTTTTTATGTATTTCAACAAAGACATGTATCAATATCACATTTCTATCAACTTAACAGTTGAATCAACTAAAACATCATACAACTTCATAGCTCAAAAATCTATTAACTTACAACTTAACAACATAAGCATCATCATACAGTGCATCAACTTAAAACATCATGAATTATCATCATATCATCTTCATTGCACAATCTAATCATCATCTTTCAATCATAAAACAACTTAAAACATCATATTAACAATATGTAACCCACACTAGGCATCATCCCTTGAATGCTCGATGCCATTGAGGTATGGGATTTCTTGGCTTCATAAGCTTCGAATCACTCACTTAACAAGTCTTGATTAGCTAAAAGGAGGATAAAAGAAGGATTTTAGTAGACACTACAAGAAAAATGCCAATTTCCGATGGAAATTTCTGACGAAAACAAGTAAATTTTTGACGGAATTTGGTATTTCCGACGGATTTCTGACAAATTTAAATTCGTCGAAAAAAGTGTTGTCGGAAAAAAAATTATGTCGAAAATACCAATTTCTGTCAGAAATTTCCGACAAAAAATTCTGTCAGAAAATTTCGTCTAAAATTTCTGACAAAAATATCTGTCAAAAATTTCTGACAGAGTTTTAGACAGAAATGTCTCCCAGAAATTTCTGACGGAATTTCTGTCGAAAATTTCTAGGGGGCATTTCTGACAAAAATTTCGTCAAAAATTTCTAGGGAACATTTCCAACGAAAATTTTGTCAGAAATTTCTGGGGAACATTTCTGTCTAAAATTTCTTTGGGACATTTCTGACGACAATTTCCGTCAGAAATTTATGACGAACATTTCCGACAGAAATTTCTGTCAGAAATTTTGTAAACCATTTTCGACAGAAATTTCTGTCGAAATTTTATGATAAATATTTCCAACGGATATTTCTGTCAGAAATTATTAATTTTAAATTTTAAATAAATTTTTTAATATAACTAATTGACATTATTTTTACCTGTTTAACAAATATATATATATAGATTGTAGAAGCTTCATCAAAATAAATTTAAAAGATAATAGTAATGTTTATATCATAATAATAAAACAATTCATAATTCAAACATCATATATAGTTAATTCAAATAGAGTAATTAATATTTTTCTAATGCTAACTAATAATCTTCATAATTAGGAGAGTCTTGTTGATTTTTGTTTTGGTCATCTTCTTGTTGTTGGTTTTGATGTTGTTCCCCATTTTGTTGATCTAGGTTGATATTTTGTTGTTGAAAAATATTTTGAATGACAGTTTGTGTTTCTGTGGGTAAGAATTGCAAGACAATTGATTGAAACTGTTGCAACTGACGAATAACCACATCATTTTCTGCAAGTTGTTGTTCATTTTCTGCAAGTCATTGTTTCAATTGAACAATGTCTTCTGTGTCATGTGAACTGCTACAAGATGCTTTCCTTTTAAGATTGACGTCGACGTGACTGCTCTGTGTATCTTTTAAATGACGAGCAAGGTCTCTAGCTCCATACAGTCGCCCCTTAGTGGTCATGCCACCAACTGCATCAGACCAACACTTAGACCTAATTGTATCCTCCAAACCAGGATCCATAAGATGTGATTCATCAACAGATGATGCATCCTCAGACATAGCTTGAGAAAATTTATTGAGAAAATCTTCCTGTTATTCAACAAAGGCATTGTTTTACTAATCTTGTAAATATGATTAAAAGTAACATCAATAATTATTTAAATAACTTACATATGTTTTGTTAGATCTTTCATCAACAAACTGTCCAGTATCTTTTCGTATATGGGTCTGTTGAAAGACCTCATCAATATGCACTGAGCGACCAAATTCTTTTGCCTGCAAATAATACATTGATGCGAAATAAATTAATTTGTTGTAAAGTTGTAAAAATAGAAAAGAAAATTTTAATCCATACATATCATGCGCTTGGTATGATCATGAACTGTAATTGAGCCACCTGTATGAAAAGTCCCACCCTTTTCAGACGCTCGATTTAGTGAGGCTTGTGTAGACTTTACTCGAAAAGCAGCTGAATTCCAATGTGCTACCAATTGGTTCCACACATCTTCTCTAACCCAAAGTGGCTTTTTACCTGCTTTCCGAGCTTCATTAAACATATCAAATAATCTATGAGAGGCTTTTGAGTGAAAAATTTTCTTTATTTTTTCCTCATCCTCGGGTCTCCATGCCACCTTACGCTACATGAAGAAAAAATTAATGAATTATAATAATTGTAACACATCAAAATGTCAAAGGAAATGAAATTCAAAACTTTTTCAACAATTAATAGAATTGATATCATGCAGGTGAAGCAACAAACAAATATAACATGAGGATACAAATAAATAAATTAAACCAAACCAAAAGCAATAACACAAGCATTTCAACTAAGTTTTTTTTTACAACTCGTGTTAAAAGAAAATGTTTATATCGAAACTACAATAACAAGTAAGTTCAAGTGTTTGTGAACATGTAAATTAAGCATCAAAGTTCGAAGTAAAGAAATGAGATGAACAATATATCACTCAAAAATTGATACAATTTAGATGAACATATCATTGTTCACAAACAAGCAATTCATATGAATGTTCACAAACAAGAATTAAACAAGCAATTTATACCTTAAAACATTGGAAGAAGGCATCCTTATCACTATCTTCCATCGCTCCCCATGTAGGTCGTGGATGAAGAAAATGTTGCTTAATGGTCTGTGTGATAGCATGTGTAGCAATAAGGGATGATTCAAACCTAAATACAAAAAAAGGTTAGCAAAATTAAAAAGACAGTGAATGATGAAAAATAAATTCTAATTTATTATTACCCTGTCCCAATAGGTTCAATTACTGGGCGATCATTGGGTAGGGGGTCTTCTGCTCCCAAATCTAAATCATCTCCATTTCACAACTTCACGATTCCTTAAAATTTTCATCGTACTATAAAGGAAAGAAAATACAAATATTACGAGGAAGAACAACTAAAAGTCTTTTCTCACCACTTAGGAATTGTTACATTGATCCAATAACATTTACATTGTCACACAACAACCCTTATCAGCTTTTGTATTATCTGTCATTGATTTCTCTACGTCTCTTTCACACAAATCAAACATTTTCTCATGTCATAGCCTATACTTAATGTAGGGTTTATATCTGCAAACACAAAAAGAAAACCTTTAATATCTCTGATGTATAATAAACATTATCGAATCCTGCATCAAAATTGAAAAGAGTAAAATTCAGAATTCTCCAATCTAGCCCTCTCATGTCAATGATTATCCTTTGATTTTATAGGAATAAAAAGTACAAAGAGTGGTCATTTGAGGTCTACTTTTTATATTTCTCACGTGGACTTAAATGGCTTCACTTATTTATTGATTATTAAGCTCCTTTTCTATCCATATAATTGTGAGAGTCTACACCAAAAATACCACCATATTCATTATACCGATAATGATTTATAGGTATCACAAACATATGCTCACGTGCAATATAACATTTAGGAGAATAATGCAACTAGATTAATGCACATTACAAAAAAGAGTTAGCAATTCCAAATAGATGATAACTCAAATTACAAAGGAGAGAAAGAAGAAAAAATAAGAAGAATGATCCAATGCACATAAGATGATAAATATATGTTGCCTTGATTAATCCAAATATAAAGTTGTTTCCAATATTTAACCAAGTGACATAGAGTTCATAAAGTAATACTTAAAATTAGCAATCCAATCCAATTATAGGTGCAAACTTTTTTTTGACTCCAACAAAGCTTAAGTCACTATTAAATTATATATATAGTAAAATGTCTTTGAAGAAATTTCTTAAAAATAAGATAAATTTTTAATATTTACAACATTACCAATGAATTATGAAAAAAAAATGAAACTAAGAACTAAAACATAATTGTTTATAAATGAGCTAGCAATAAAGAAAATGTTATGTGAATGTCATTATCCTTCTTAGATAGATAGATATCAAACTGATTGTTTGGCTACTTTTTCTACATTGTAATATTTCCCTAATAAATCTTCTCTTTTTTTTCACAACAAGGAATCCAAGGTCTAACCATTATGTCAATTATCAAATTAAACCACATCAAACATCTTGTGCTCAAACTTTCATTTCAATGCCTCCAAACACAACTAATTTATGAAAGTACCGATATTTTTAACAATTAGACAAGAGACAAAGCAAGATAGTTCAAATTCAAAGCATTTTGAGAAAAGTATGAACATTAGCAGGAACACATTTGATAAAGGAGTATTTTAAGAAAATAGTCATTAAGACTCACATGAAGCTTTTGATTAAAAGCTCTCTTCATCTCAAAATAAGCAAACCCAATCTCAAAATTCAATAATTTAAGATTTTCTTAGAAACATTCTCTCAAAATTTATCTATAACAAAATAGAAGTTGCATCTCAATAATATGCCGTAAATAAAGAATTATACTTAAATTCTGTTCTAATATTAACTTATTATTATTATTATCTTTTGACACTTGTTATATATGTGTTTTTTTTAAAGGAAATTAACGTGTAACGAAAAAAACTAAGTAGGAAATAGGAAATTGAAACAAGGTGATTTTAGTGAAATTCATTGAGTGGATTCTTTTTAATCAAACTAACAACAAATTATGTTTTTAACTTAAATAAGATTTTTATAAAAAAAATAAATTTTATCACTATTATACAAAATTGTCCAATAACATCAACTTCAATAATGATAAAAGGATCAATACATGATTGGGAAGGGAACTCAACCTATGGTTGAGAAACTATACTATCATATAGTATATAAGTCCCCCAAGCAACTTTATTGTATTTCACGTACTTTTTATTATTGTATTTCTAGAGACTACATTATCTTTCACTCATAGAAAGCAACCTTATTTATACTACAAGAAATATTGCATATAGTAAGATATAAAAAATGTCATTATAGGTATAAAACATGTAGAGGTATAAATCTATTTGATATATAACTATACACAATTTAGTATTAATTTTGAATGAGATTTAATAACATATATTATGTGTCACTATAATTTATATCTACACTTTTTAACAATATATCTGTAACGACCCGCCTAGCCGTCACACAACAAACATCACCACACAGAATAGAGTAGTCATATAAAAGAGAATATATATACATAAGTCTAGCCTGGGGCTCAACCAGTCAATATACAAAACTACCAAAATAGCTACACCAAGTAGCCCATAAACAACAAAATCAGCTCCAACTGTCAACTGTAGTCTTGCTACTACACTCCAGCCTATCCTTGCTCTGCTCCCATATAGTATGATCATTGCAGTCCAACCCACATGAAAACAAGCAAGGGTAAGCTAGTACTGAAAATAATCAGCATATAAATAAATTATAAAGATCTTCAACGTAACAACACCTCATCAAATTCAACTACTTTAACATACAACACATAACAACATACATCTACATCTCAGCTTCACAACACACTGCACACATACAGCTTATATCATTCAACAAAATCAACATCAAACAGCTTATGCGTCGTCACACATTTCAACTCGAAGATCTCCTACAACATGGGTGAGCAGTTTAAGTGGCTAGGTCTTATCGAACCGACAGCAAAGAACCTTTTTGGTTTGCTAGGTAAACAACAATTTGGATATCAATTCACAACTTCACGATTTCTCAGACTTTGCCACTTAAGCAAGGAAGTATGGTACTATGTCAGGATAGAACAACTGGGTTTTAGGCCTACCACGACATTAGCTAGCTTAACTAAGCCACATATGGAATTAGCCTACCGACTATCTTTCAAATACCACAACCTTCCGATACTTAGTTAGGAACTAAGTTCCCGACTTCGTACTTTATTCGATTGGCCGCTTGTAATCGGTATACCTCGACCTGGCCCCTATACCATGGTCGTTTTGTACACGTCGGATTGAATCCATCAGAGCATAAACCAAGTCGTACATTGCGTGGATCGATAACAAAATCTGGATGTACTCGATCGAAATGCTTCCAAGCTTCCCCATCAGATGGATGCCTTAAGACTCCAACACTTTTTTTTTGTTTTCATGATGCCATGTCATATGTCCTGCTATTTGCATTGATGCAAGCATTCTCTGTAGTCGAGGGATTATAGGCAAATAGAACATTGCCTTAACTAGAACTTGTTTTTTATTACTTATTTCGGTGCTACAGTCATGATACCTTGACTTATTACAAAATTTGCATTCAATTAATGCTCCATCATTTTTTCCATATTCATTGTCATAAAAAAGCAAACAACCACCCACACAACAATCAACCCTCTTAGCTTCCAATCCTAGCTTTGCTACTGGTTGTTTGGCATCATAATAACTTTTTGGCAAACTCCCTTTTATGGGTGTTACATCCAAAAGCATCTGTATAATAAACTCTAAACATTGATTAGGAACATTCCAATTGGACTTGCAAGCTAATAGCCTGATGCATATGGATAGTTTAGAGTCTTTAGCCCCTTCAAACAATGACTTATTTGACTTTGTCAACAGATTATAGAATCTTTGAGTTTCTTCATTTGGAGGCTCTTCCATGTTGTCAAACTCTGGTGTGTCAAGTGACTCATGTTGTCTGAGAGCATCAGACACCATCTCTTGCATAAACATAAATTGTTCCTCTCGAGGCAAATCTACAACACTATCATTAGCATGTAAGTCAACATGTGGCATTTCTTCACCATGATCGGTCCAAACAAAATAATCAAGTTTGAACCCTTGTTTGTAAAGGTGAACCTTCACAATTTCATCATTCAAAATCTTTGTACAATTGCATTTGAGACATGGACATCTAATCCCCCATCACCTTTATAATATTTGTATTGGCGAGCTTTATTTATAAACTCTTCAACGCCTAATACAAAAGATGGTTTCAATCCTGTTCTACCAGGGTAACACCTATCATACATCCAAGCACGATTCAACGTAAAAGAATCCATGTTCTGTATATTTAAACATGGATTAGTTATTTATCTAAAAATACAATTAAGATACATTAAGAAGTATTATCAAACCAAGAACATAAATTTAATCTAATTAGGGTTTGTTTTTACTATTAATTATAGTACCATTAATTACTATTAGGAAAACTAATTTAATCTAGTGTTCTGCAAAAATGAGACACAAGAAAAGGCTAAAGTAATCTTCAAAATAAATAGAGGGACTAAATTGTATAAATCAAAAGCCATGTATGTATAATATAAAAAGGCTACAAATACCTTGAGTAAATCAGAAACCTTCTCAGCAATATATTTTTGTTGAATATTGGCTCCCTCCTATGTTACTTATCAACATGAATGCACATGATACCTTTTCTGCAAACCTTTTTAACAACAACAATAGTAATCAAATCAGTTAAAGAAACTAGCTCCTAAACACATTCAAGCCACAACACCTAATGATCATTCATGATCCCATGCTTATTAGGTGTTTGGAAATATTATGGATAATCCTAGGGCAAAAATTTAAAATATAAAAAAAAGTAAATTACATCATATATCTGTTAGAGGCTAGTGCCATCAATTTATCTATGTGGCTGACTCACCTAATGGCACATGGATTCATTATTTGTTGTAAACCATGAATGTAAATGAATACCAAATATTGGTGATGAATCTATTTAGAGATATAAAAAAAATTCCTCAGCCCCTGTATCTAATTGCTTAAGCTTTTAGGATAGTTGATTCTTAACATAATATTAAAGTTGTGACCAAGTGGTAATTATTATCTAATTAATTCATATATATCTTAAAATTTTAAATTCATATTAATTTTAAATTTTAGACTAACGTGATTGAGTAATTACGTACACTTTAAAACTTGTTTAAAAAACTTAATTTCACAATATATTCAATGTGAGTACACGAGAACTAAACCATTGAATTGAAAGAGTAAAAATTGAAAAATAATTCGAGTTAATTGAACTAAACTATTTTATTAGTTTAGCAAACTTCTCAAATTTAAATAGAACTGCTTTTTTTTTTTTTGCAATGATAAATATATAAGGAAAATAAAAAATTAAGAGAAACTTAACTTTTTAAAAAATAGCTCAATTTAAGTGGTAATTTAACTTTTCCTGTACAATAACTCTCTTTCCACTGCACAACATAACATTTTGAATATATAAATGACTGCGTAGCTAAATCATTCCACATACATACATGAACGGGTTTTTGTTTTGTTAAGTAAAAGCATAAACAGAACGATGAATACAACAATATGTTTAAAACTTCATTTTAGCTGCTAAAGACATTTCCATATATAAAATCTAAAATGATAATCACGTTATGTATATTTTAGTTAACCTTCCAACCATAATGACCATCACAAAAACATAATGAGGGATGTTATTTTTTTTTTAATATTATACAATTAACAACACACTCTTCTTAACACACTCATTCTTATTGAAAACTACAAAATCAGAAACGAAAAGAAAAAAAAGTCGTTAAATGGGGTGTGAGTTCTACCAAATTTTGTATTTTTCAATAAATTTTGACTAATTAGAAGGAGTGTGTTTAAAAGAGTATTTAAAGAGTGTTGTTGCCAACATTTCTATTTAAGCTGAATTTTCAGATTTTTTTAAGAAAAATATAAATACCATTTTTTATAATACTTGTGTTCTTAAATTGTTCGGTCTTTTACCAAAAAGAAAAAGTGTTCGATCCATATTAAAGTGTTGGCTCAAGTGTCTAAGTTGATAAAAAATAATTTAAGTAAACACTTAATGAGGAGTGTCTGACACAAGTCATAGAAGTGTTAGGGAAGTTTTGATGTTGTAAACGTGTCAAACATCTCAAGCAAGAGGAGTGTTCGTTCTTCATACTCAGTATTATGACAATATGTTTAGGAATTTAGATTCAACTCCTTCATGATTAAAATTGCCAAGGGTAAAAGGAAGTAAAATTTAGAAGTTTATGATGGAGATTATTTGCTAGTTTGAGTGATTTGAATTTCAAAGAGAAAGGATAAGAATAAAATGATGATAAAGAGGACAAATGGAGGCATACATTTTTGTCTTTTTTCCCTGTGACAAGTGGCAAATGCAAGTTGGAGATCAAAACATTATGAAAAGCAGGAAATAGCATGAATAACAGAGGTCCCTCATAGTTCTATCATGTAAAATCAGTCTTCTTGGACAAAGAACAGTGGAGTCAAGGGCACTCCTCTATGTGTGAATATTAATGATAATGTCTTTCAACAAATTATGCAGCCACACACGATGGAAATTTATTCACTGAATGGTAGATTACTCACCAAAATATCATGGAAAAATAGTCTCTAGAGCAACAATGATTGTCTAATTTTACATAGGCAAAGTAACAGTAAATTCAATCGCCATATTATCAACATATTTCAATTTTGCAACCTCAATCATGATCCTTTTCAACTTTACCCATGGTAACAAGCTCCCATAGTCTCACATTTTTTGGTTGCATTTGGAATGCATGCCAATGTTTTTGACAATTCAAGGCATTACCAAAAAAAAGAAAGAAAAAGAAAATTCAAAGGCAAATTACCAGTCAATTCTCCAACATATTTCTATGAATCTTGCCAAAAAAATAAAATAAAATAAATCAAAACTACAGGTGAGAGTTTTTAAAATTAATTCACCTGTGCAACCATGTCTTAATATATAGCTCCTCTAGGGTTTGAAATCCTGCATTTAACAGAATAAATAAATAAACGGAGAAGAAAAAAAAACCTAATAGGAGAAATCGAAGAATCACGAGACGAGATCAAAGCAAAAATCGGTGAAACAGAAATGGAAATTGAAAAAGAAGAAAAGAGGGGTTTGAAAAATTACCTGTTGGACATGGCGAAGGGAGTGAGAATGGAGGAATTAGAATTAGGAAAGAGTGGAGAAGGAAGAGAGAAAGTTAGGAAGGTGGAAACCTAGGGCGAGCCATTTGAACCTAGGAAGAGAGAAAAGAGGGGTAAAATTTTTGTGTTTTGGCGCTGTGTCGGGGTCCGTTAAATTGCAATTGCAAATGTAGCAAGCAGCTCCACCACTCTCCACTCACCAAAACGTGTATGGGGATGTGAATGCACGTGAACATATAATATTATTCATCATTAATCATTAATTAATTCATATTTATACTTTGGAGCAAAATATCATTTTAGTTTTGGACATTAACATTTAACTTTTATTTTCGTTACTAGTTATTCATCCTTAGCACCGCTTTACCTCAAACTCTCTGGAAGACATTGCGCGAGCGTAAAAGGAATTACGCCGGGCATGTCCTGAGGCAGAGAGTACTTGACCTTCCTACAAGGCCCTGCGCCGGGCGCAAAGACTTATGCATCAGGCGTGTAACCCTAATCTGACTCCCCAAGCTCGTATTTAAAGAAACTTTCGAGGGTTTTCTCCTCATTCACACATTGGACGCGTTTTAGGAGCAGAGGAAGGGATTCCCAGAGCTTGGGACCGTTCGTGTGTGGGTTTTTCCTTCGGTTCTTCATTCTCTCTTCCATCTCTATTTTTGTTTTACCCTCATTGTTTTGAGTGGTTCTACCCATCATTTTGTGGGGTTAGATGTAACCAACGTACTCTATTGTAATCCTTACGTTTTCAATGATATATATATATATATATATATATATATATATATATATAT